TTCTCTTTGCTCGTCTACCCTACAGCCACACGCACTGCGTGTGTTAACCCTGTCGAGGAGTCGAGTGGATTCCCCTAAGCATGATTTTTGCTCGATAAAAGGGGTTGCCTCCCCATGTTTTAAATTGCTGAATGTTAGCATTTAAAAAATGTGGGTATCCTCTTCTTTTGCCGTCTACCAGCCTGGTGTAGCCATATCCTGCATTGCGGGAAACTTCGTGTTCCGGGCGAAGCACCTGAAATAATGCTTAGCGGGTCCAGGTTCGATACGAGATAGGATAATTATGCGCGAAAAAGAGCTGGTGAACTTTATTTTCCTCTATTCCTCAATCGTTTCGTCTTCTTTCCGATTTGGGCCTAATCTTTGCTCGTTGTATCGTTGCACTCCCGACCTGTTGGCTCAAAGTTAAGTCTCGCAAATGAAATGAGATTTTCGCTCGTTCCGAAACCGGGAGTGTCGTTGAAAGTATATATATATATTAAATATATACATCGCGCGACAAAATTTTTAATCCGAATACCGAAGTAGTGCGGGAGTGCCGTTTAGTATCGCGCGTAAAATAACGAAAATAGCGATATAAAAATATCGCTCGTGAGTGCGGGAGTGCCGTTGAAAATATCGCGCGTCAACAACATGAGAGGAGGAGGAGGCCTGGGAGAGGCATCTTGCATCGGCGGAGCAACCTGATGGTGAATATTTATTATTTGTATATCAATTGTTATAAATCGTACGCATAATAATTCGATCTTATTATTTAAATGAATTGAAGAGAAAATTAGAGAGAAAGATTTTTATAAAAGTTATATAAAACTTTTTAAAAAACTTTCTTGAAAAACAGTTTTAAAATTTTATAAAATTTTTTTACACGTGTTTATCTCTGCTTATTATTTTACACATCGGATATAAAATTCCGCGCGATAAAAATTTTTTGAAATATTGATTGCATTTTGTGAGCATTAATATAAATGAATTTTATATTTGTATGTTACAGACAACTAGCTTCGATAACAACAACTCCGCTGTTGCGCATCAGTGCCGGTGAGTGAGAAAAACTTTTATTTAACTTTAAGGTAACGGATTCGTAGAGATTGTAGATGTAGATTGTAGATTATAGATTGTGAATTGTAGAGTAAGTCCGTTGCCTTAAAATGGATGAGCTAGGATAGATTAAATTAAATAACTTTTAATAAATTCTTTCGAAATGCTTTGCATCTATTGCGAAAATATATTGAAGTATTAATTTAAAAAAGAAAATCAAGAAAGGAAAATTTTTTTTGTAAAGACTTGACTAGTTTATTAAATCAAGAGTACGCATTAATAATTTTAACAATTTTATCAATTTTTGATACTACTTTATTCTTATAACGCGCACTTATTTTATTCTAATTTCTTATATCATAGCTCATCCATTGTAGAATTTGTTTGTAGATATTGTTTTTAAATTTTACTTTAACTTAAAATAAAGCCAAACGATTAATTAATTAAATAATTTGTAATATCATAAAAGTTATACACACACATGAATTTTATATTTTATTAGAAAATATAGTATATAGAAATTTGTAGTAATTTGGCTTTATTTGAGTTAAAATAAAGTTATATTCAAATATTTAAGAAACGATCGTAAAATCGAGCGATCGTTACGATGAGCGTGAAATATTTACGCTCATTTGCCGGTCATTAATCGGCAAAAGAAGGAGTATTTGTCTCCTGTTTCGATCTCTGATTGAGAGATCGAGCGAGAAAGTGGCCAGGATTAACGAAAAGTAAGTTCAACTGGCCTGAAGAAAAGCTTTACGTACAATAGTACGTAATGTCGGACATTTATTCACGCGGTTAGGGCATTCGGTTAGAGAATGTAATTAGGGCACGTAATAAAATTATACGTGATTAGAGATAGGCTTTCCTCGAATAATTTCACTTAATCGAGAAATAGGATTGTTAGGGCTATTAGGTGATCATTAAGATTTTTTAATTTTCCATTCAAAAAGTAGAGGATTGTTAGGGCTATTATGTGATTAATTTAGCTGATTTTATTTTTTTTATATTATGTATCTTTTAAAGAATCAGGAAATGTAGGTTTAAATAATATTAGGGAAAACTAATTAATAAATAGTTCAATAATTATATTTTTAATATTAAGAATTTTTAAGGGATCAATATTTCTTGAGTGTTTTTTAAGAGAGTTTTTTTTCCCCACGTAAAAAAAAAAGGATTGTTAATTTATTTTGTATTACATTTCAAATTATATAATATTATATTTTACATTAACTTTTTGTATTAAATTCTGTATTGAAAGAAAATGAAAAATTTTGCCTTCTCGATGATATCTCCATCTTAAGAATGGCATTTGCCGGCTGAGGAGGTTTGAGTATTTTAATGAGCCTGAGAGCTATGCCGGCGGTAACATACACCGATATTCGTATAGACTTTTCTTATATTTAAGATAATTTTAAGTATGATCTTAAATATAAAAGTGAGTTATGAATACCGATCGTAGTTATTGATAGAGTCATCTATGTCGGACAAGTCGAAGGAAAAGTGTCAGACTAAGAGAAATACCAAAATTATATAAATATTTGTTATATTAATTATATTAATATTTTTAAATAAAATGAAAGAAAAAGGAACAATAATCGAGAAAAAGGCAACTACAGTGATTTGAATATCTATACCTGAGAACAAATGTCCATAGAAAGTATTTCGATGGACTCCATAGGAAGGAATGACAAATGATGATAATTTTTATAATTTTAACACAAAGGAATACAATAAACCATAATAATCCAAGAACTCGAAGAAGAGAATATATTGGATAGAAATGCATAATGATTGAAAATAATTAGAAACTAAAAGACAGTGTGCAATCTTTTTATTAATAATAATACTATTTTGTAATTATATTAAATTTTATAATTTAGTACATTATATTATATAAAATATTAAGCATAAAAATATTATGCTGGTAAGAAAATTATAATAAAAGTACACAAATAATGTTGACTATATTAGAATAGAACATATGAATTCTTTATATTTTATATAAAGGAAGAGATATTTAAAATATTTTGCAACATCTATATTTTTCGAATCTTATAATAATTATAAAAGCTTCGGAAGAATCAGTGATTACTTTAACAAATTCTATACATGTATTAATAATTACATTTTTAAATAATTAAAAAAAATGATTGATAAATATCAAAGATCATTTTACTGCTAATTAAAAAGATTTATAGAAATACGATTAAAAAGGTTTTTATTCCACAATAGACATTTTGTTTTTTTGTAAATAAAAATATATAAATATGACATTGAATGTATAGAAAAATATTTATTTTATCTTTGAACATTACATTAGAATCATTAGATCATAGTATTTTTCGATTGAAGTCAAATTTTAACTTCTTACTTTGTGTTACGACATAAATAGATATGAATCAATTAATTAAATATATATTATATTTAAATTTTTCAATGTTAATATATCTTTCGAAAAGAGATAATATATCTGTATTTATGTACACATAGAATATATATATGTAATTCCAGCGCGTGTATTTTATGTAATGTTTTAAATTGAATATATATATATATATATATATATATATATATATATATATATTTCTAAACATAACGCAGATATTTCAGAATAAAGTTGTAGCGTTATACTATATATACATACATATATATATATATATATATATATATATATATATATATATAATATGTGTGTGTGTTTATTTGTGTATATGTAGAGAAAGAGAGAGAAAGGGAGAGAGAGAAGACCACAAAATTTATTTAAAAAATTAAAATTAAAAATTTATTTATATTTATATATGCGTTTTGCTATACAGCACTGATGGCATTTCGTGTACATAGGCATTTCGTGTACTACAGGCATTTTTTACATAGCACGGAACAGAATCAGAAATTGTGCACATATATGTTACTCTCTGAGAACTTTCGTGGACTTTGGCTTTGTAGTTCATGTCCACGTTTTTTAGATTAACAGAGGACGTATCGTTTTCAGGGATCACCTAAAAGCGGGCCATGACACCTCTCAGTCTTCTCTCTGCTTATACCAACTCTGCGGGTATCGCAAAATCTCTCTAAATGGAAATTCGCTGTAGCGAACTTTCCTCGCTTTCCTATATGGGTAATTCTTTTACAAACCGGACGGATTGAGGCAAAATCTGACCGACACATTTTTTATTTGGCTGAAACTTTTTCTACGGGTTCTATATCGAAAAAAAAAAGATACGTGTTCGAGGAATTTTTTTTTTTTTTTTTTTTTTTTTTTTTAATAGAGAGGATTAAAAGTTTAAGATTTTCGTGATTTTTGCCTTGGAGACTCATTTTCAAAAATTCATAACTCCGGTTCTTTTTAAGCTAGAAAAAACTTTTTTTTTCATTTTGAAGATAAAAGAGTGAATTTTGAGAAAAAAATATTTCCAAAAAAATTTATAAAAAATTTCATATTGTTATAAACAATTGAAATGTTTAAATCAATTTTTAACCATGGCCCCCAAATTTTAACGATTTCTTAATACAACCATCGTATTCTACGTTAAATTTTCTATAAAAAACGTATATTTTATTAATGGAGAAATTATGTTTACTGGTAGAGATAAATTAATTTATCTAGCGCGGCACGTCGTATCGGCGCGCGGGTACCTCTGCACGCCTCTTTTTCTAACCCCACATCGTTTTTCTCAATAACATTAATGATTATTCAACTATTAGTCTATTTTGTCAATCGAGTACAAATTATTATTAGCAAACAGGACTTTATTATTAAGTGAACAAAATAATAACATGTTAGCAAATTGCTCATTGCTCATTGTCAGTCGAATTAAAACAGTTATTTGTTAAGATAGTAATCGAAAAAATCGACTGTTTTATCGGCACCTAAAAGTGGATGTGATCATGTAGTTCCAGGCGGCGTAAAATGAATGTATGCACCGCTAGTGTACGACGTAGGGGTGTTCCCTGAAAAATGGCAGCGTGGCCCTCTCAGGCTTCTCTCTGACGCACATTTACGCAGCACTTGGCTTATTTATTCGTCGTGAAACGAAAATCTCCGAGCGATTATGATTTAACGGAAAGATCGTCCGCAAACTGTAAGTTTGTCGCCTTCGTCAAGTATGCCTTTTTATATCAATTGCATAAAATTATTTTGGATTGGAACGTTCGTAGAGAACGCCTGAGAGACTCAACGTTTCTATGACGATGGCGTCGAAGGAGGGATATCGGCTTGAACAAGAAGCGTTTGTTTCTAATCACGAAGGCTCGACATGGCAAGAGGTAATTTTCACGCTTTTACCGAACGTTTGCGGCATCTTGTTGACAACAACGACTCTGGGAGTTCTTAGGAAATATATCGACAGGAATGTGACAGTCGTCGTTGAATTCATACTGATTGTCATCCCGACTATCTTGTGCTGTACCGTCCTGTCAGAACACATCATTAGCGTATGCATAGTAATGATATTTATCTCCACACTGAATATGTGGTTGTTAGGAAATAAGAGCATTCAACTTTCTAAGTTGGATGTGCGACCGATCACCGGTAAAAGACCCTTCATAACTAACTTTCGCGCCTTAACTAATATTATAACTGCGATTTGTATATTGGCAGTTGACTTTCGAGTCTTTCCGCGAAAGTTTGTCAAAACAGAAGTGTATGGATATAGTTTAATGGACACGGGTGTCGGGCTGTTTATATTAGCTAATGCTTTGGTTGCGCCAGAAGCTCGAGACTTTTCCACTTCTCGTCAAACAGAATTTCAGGAGACCCTGACGAAGAATATAAAAAATTGTTTCCGAAGCTGTATACCTCTCTTAGTGTTAGGCTTTGGGCGTTTTGTAGCAGTCGAGTTAACGGGATATCAGAAGCATGTTACCGAATATGGCGTTCATTGGAATTTTTTTGTAACTTTAGCTGTTGTTAAGTTGTTCACTAGTATGATTACCAGTACGATTAACTCCAAGTATTCGCTATTCTCAGGTGCTTGGATATTGGGTATGCACGAGTATATTATGACTACAAAAGGGTTAAGTACATGGGTTTTAGGAGATGCTCCAAGAGATGATTTTTTCTCTGCCAATCGAGAGGGCTTAGTTTCTGTACCTGGTTACGTAGGTCTGTATTTCATTGGTGTGGCTGTTGGAAGATTAATCCATTCCACGTATCAAAGTTCACATACAAAATCGAACATGAAGATTTCTGTAAAACTATGTGGTCTTAAATTTGAAGCAAGTTATAACGAGTCCATGTTGTTATGTATTAAGTTATATTTGATATCTGTATTAGCTTATATCGCATTGGTATTATGCAATTCATATTCAAAGGTTTCAAGAAGACTAGTCAATGTTGGATATTGTATATGGATATTGACTTTGACAACTACACTGCTTAATTTGTTATTATATGTAGAGATTCTACTAGATATAACTAATTATGCAGCAAATGAACCATGCAATGAAAACAGAACAAAAAAATTGAGTAAAAATTCGCGATTAAATTTAAAGAAAAATGTTGAGAGTGAGAGGAGAGAAAATACAGAATGTGTAGTTAAAAGATCTTTGGAAATTTGTGATGCTGTAAATTATAATGGCCTATTTTTCTTCCTTCTTAGTAATGTTTTGACTGGTCTTGTCAATATGTTAATGTGCACATTATATGTAAAACAGTTGTTAACTATATTAATATTAATTATTTACATGGCTATAAGTATATTTTCTACATTGATACTTTACAGATTACAAATACCAATTAAATTGTGAAATGTATGCAAAAACTATAATAAGCCAATTTTTATGAATTTCCAACTTTTAAAATCGATTTTTTGATAATTATATTGAAAGTATTATTCTTTTAAATGTTTGTTTTCATATTGCTAATGATGATTACATATGTACTTAAACATGTATGGATAACAATTTTTTATTATAAATTATGTGATTTCTTATATGGCCAAAGATTGACATATAACTAAATATTACGTAGATATTACATAAACTTTATAATTAAGAATTAGCAATTAAAAGAAAATACTGCCAAATGCAACTCAAACATATCGACAAAATCACGTCATTTATTTATTAAAATGTACAGTAATATAAAAATAAGTAAAAAAAAATTTATTTAATACAAATAGTTTACTGCATTTCAGATTACGCTGTTCAATCCGTTTTATTAACGTGTCTAAATTTTTTAAATTTAATACCTAAATTTTGTTCACAGTTCATCTTTGTAAAATATATTAGACTTTTGCAATTCAATCGATTCTTTTGTGTTAGAAGACTGTGCCGATTTTTTATTCTCCATCGTCTTAGTGCCATTTTGCATTTCATTGTGAAAATTGTTGATAAATTTGTTAAAAGCGTTATGGTGTTTTACGTGATTTCTTGCAAGCGAGACAATTCTCAGGAATTCTTTAACATCGAAGCTATAGTTTGTAAATTTAGCATGAGCTCCGCCATCGGGATGCGTTCCCTGTAAATTTTTATATAATAATTTTTATATAATATTAATATATTTATATATTAATATTTATATATTATTAAGTTTTATTAAATATTTTGTCATATTTTTTTAAATATTAAGATTCAGTAAAAAAATGTATATAGACATACTGGATCCTGTTGTATTAATTTTGATGTATCTTCCCACGTAAAATATTTCACGCCTCTTAGTCGTGCAAGGTCCTTGTAACAATTAGGATCTTCGCAGTTATATCTGAAAACAGTTGGAATGCATATAGCAATGAAAAACTAATGTTCTACCGTAGTATTTTACAATTTTTAAAAATATTTAAAGTTCTTACAAGTATTAAAACTCTTACATTTCGAACAATGCCGCCCAATCTGGTAGAAACATTAGATGCGTCAATCCGGCACCATGAATGCCAATAAAAATGTCAGAATTTTTAGTGATTTCCAACTGCTTTCTGAATGATAGATTTTTATTGTATACTACCTACAAGAATGAGTCAGTTGTATGACAAATGATAAATAGAACATTAAAAATATTAAATCTATTAAAATTTTACCTTTTTGACTTTATACTCCGGATTTTCTTTCAAAGCTTTTAACAATTCATTTTCATTTAATATTTTCCTATACTGAGTATCTCTACTTAGTAATGTGATGCGAATTTTTCGATCTTTTCTTTGATGAAGAGGTATTCGAAGTCGATGTAACACATGATCGCTGAAAGCTTTGAACAATCCGGATTTTTCACAGCCATAAATAAGTGGTGTGTTGTAGTACAGCCCAAAAATCATTCGCGGCAATAAGGGAAACACCAGATTCTTGAAACATACTGTTTTGCCTTTAAATGTTTTTAGATCCCACAATGGATTTTTTGTGAATGCTTCGAAAGTATCTTGGAACGCCGAGCGGTAACTGAAAACAAAGCATACGTCAATATTTAACGGTTCATAATGTTTATTTTATATTTGTGCTGCAATTTTGTGTTACGTTTTATGTACCTATAACTTTCCCATATCATGATATGATTATCTGTGTCGAAGACGGATGGGTGCGAGAGATTCACGTGCAATGATGCGTACAAATTGAAGAAGTCGCAAAAATGATGATACATATTTAAGACTAAAAAAATGACGAATATGAATAATTTATTTGGCAGAATTTTTTTGCAAATGTCCTAAAACTTACTGGCATCTATTTTCATAATAAAGGTCGGTTTTTCAATGACAATCTCGCAGTCACCGTGAATGATTGGCCGGTGGTGCAGTTTTCGAAAATTTCGCAATTCTGGTCCCCAAGATTGCAATGGGCTGATATGATCCGCATTTTCTTGCATTCTTTTTTCGTTCAGCCTGATCGCAGAAGAGAGAGTTAGATACTTTCCAATTTCTCGCACAGGTGATCTATTTCTCTCTGATATTTTCTTACGTGCAATAGCCGCCAATTTGACCTTCTCGTAAAACGTCCATTTTATATCGTATAGGTTCCTTGCGATTCAACAAATCCGTGAAATTTAGCATCACGTTTCTCGCTCTGCAGAACCTCATATGCTCCGAACATTCTAAGGACGAGTCGTCCTGAAAAAAATTGTAGAATTTGATCAAGATATTGATTTAATTATCTTTTTATATTCCATGCATATGATGTCAGACTTATATCATGATTCAATGAGCTCACCACAAATAATGGCTCGCATAATAGCATCATCTCTCTCCTCTGATCGCGCACGTATCCGAAATCACCTTGTGCATAATATGTATCTAATTGAGCTTTTTTTGTAGCGACCCATCCCTTGTGATCTCCTGGACAGTGTGGGATGGAAAAAGAATTTTCTATTTTGCAGTCTTCTTCGTAGCCCCAACAGGCTTTTGTGTCGAGACTGTTCTGGAGTATATCATGAAATTAATATATTTTTTTTCATTAAGTATAAATAATTTAAAAAATAAGAAATTAAAGTATAATTGTGTAAGAACAATCTGAGAAATTTTTTATCAATGAAAAGATGAGACAATATCTAGTATTATAATACGTATTTGAAAATTCGATAAAATCATCTCGAAATTGATAGAAAAATAAAATTTTTTGGTGATTTTTTTCATATATATTTAAGTATATCACACATAGGAAGAGAGGAGACGAAAGCGTATGTATCAAATTAAATATGAGCCTTACCTTATACGGACAAGCTGCGTCGTTGCGGCATTTTTCTGCTACCGTGGGAAAGGAGTTAAAATAATACTTGATGTGGGCGTGCGGTAGATTGATATCTGTGTAATTGCCGCCAATGGCAGTGACCGTGAATACGAGCGCCAGCGACGCAGGATGAATCGCAAACAAAGTCCTCATGATCTCGTGTAAAAGGGCTACTGGGACGAAGCGGATAGAGCAACACGCGGCGAAGCGCACGGCGATAATGAAAAACGGACCACCTGTGAAGGTGGATGTATGACTTCACCTACCTACTATGACCTGTCATACACACAACCACGTGCATCAGCGATACGTACACATATGCGCGTAGGACTCGTGAAAAAACGGTGAGAGGCGACGCTGAAAATGCGATACGCGAGTTACATCACAGATATTACACTGGCTCGCCTTGAGTATTTTTTATATTTCAAATAATAGACCGACATTTAATACACGATATATTAATAAACTCTTCTGATACGAAGCAAGTAAAAATATCGAAATGGTCATAGGCAAGTTTATTAAATAATGTTTATTAAATCTTTAGTATCAAAATATATTTCTTATATAGACAGAAGAGCAAGAGAAATACTTTGAGCATCCAGCTATCTGTCACGCGTGATCAGCTGTTTAACATCATATTTGCATATGGCTGCGCGCAAACTGTCACTGACAAAGATGATTTATTTATTATCACGAATTCACTTAAATTGTTTGTTTTTGAAATATGAAGTGATCCAGTTTTGGAGTAAACCATCGAACAATGCACCTTCGAGCAGCTCCTACCACGCGAATCACGTAACCTCCACCGTCTGGAGACTCGGATCTTTGAATCGTAACGCATTGTAGGCTTTGTGTTGCTTGGGAAAGCATTTTGAACTGTGAATTGGGTCCATCTATGGGTTTCTTTCCATTATATGGGTTGCAAAAGGTAGCATATATTTAGAAAACGTTGGCAAAATAGGAAAATGAAATGTTTACCTCCTATCGATATATGATCAATAAAAGATATAGTAGATAAGATGAATATCTGTAAACCCTTCTCAGTTTTCTGCTCTTCAATACCGATCAAGCACGAAAAATATTGAAAGCGCATCGAATGAGGGCGCTTGTGTCTACTTGAATTTGCTGTAAAACGTTAGTCGCGTAGTGAAAGTCTGATTTATTTGCAATTTTCACCTGTAATTTGTAAAAGAAACGTAAAAATTTTGTGTATATAAAGTACTGAGGAAATAATAATTGTGGAACTCTTAGGAGGTAAGCTTTATCCTTATAAATAAATTATTATAACGTTTATCTTGTGTATGCGCGCGCGAAGGTTATGATTTCAAATTCATGTACAGAGAAATAACAATCGCTTGTCTTTAGAGTATAAGCATAAAATGACTGTGCAAGGAATTATTTCGCAATGTAAGGATTATTTGATATATATCGTCTAGCATCAATAACGAATGATGGTTCCCGTTACTCATCATGCTCTTACGTAAAGCAAGGCCCGAATCTATCGAACGCATCTTATGCTAATCCCTGAGAGATACGTCAACAACGATTTCGTCTTATACGGAAGAGACAGTTCGATTCTTCTCTCGAGAGACGTGACCGAGTCAGAGTCTGACAGTCAGCTGTTGACGTTCGATTTTGTGCGCATTAAACAAGGGAGTCTTAAATATTGAAATGGAGTGCAGACACAGTGCTCAACTATTGAAATATCTGACCATGACGTGTCCTATGAGGTTTCTACGTGGGATCGAGCGATCTCGATCTTTTCTCACCGCGGGCGACTGACCAGCTGATTACCCATGATTGTTCGCGAAACGGAAGATCACCTCTATCTCTCGTACGTATCCGAGTAAATCGGCATTGGCCGCTAGTCCCGCGGGTCAATCACGATGATCTACAAATCAATGCTAATCGATGCGAGATATCGCGGGACAATAGCGTCGATATCTTCGGCATCAACCTGCCATAACGTGACTCGAGATCTCGCCGTTACACGAACGTTATGTATATTTATATATGTATAACTTATTCACGTGCATGTGCACGAGGATCTGTTGCCGTGTCTTTGTGCAAAAGCACGTAGTTTACCGGTATATGTAGATTAGCCGATAGACTGGTGGGGGCTCAGCGGCCTGTCCAAGCACGGATTGCCGCAGATAGATCGAAAGAACGATCTACATCGATCACGATCGCATCACCCCGACCCTCAACCCGAGGTACGGTCACAACGGTATCTCGTGCTCGCTATTTATATACCAGTTCGCCCAACTTTATTTCTCTTCTTGTAAATCTCCTTTGTCGTCGTGGATGTCGTTCGGATAAATCTTTTCCCCGAGAAATTACAACGCGGTCAAATTATCCTGTCAAGAGATGTCTTTAGGATATGAAATATATTTGACAGTTTGTTATTTGTTGTTCTTTATCTAATTGTAAGATTAATATTTTAGAAGAGGCTTTAATGTGTGATAAAACGAATAACAAAATACCTTTGGAAATTTAAGTTGTATCAAAAATTAAAATGTTGAAAATCATTTATATGTACAATATAAAAAAATTCATAATTAAACATTTGACTGTTAATTTATATTATTTTTTTATAATTATGTATATTGATGATAATTTTAATTATAGCTATTAAAGATTAAATGTATCATATATTTTCCATATAGAAGAAGATTCGGAAATCGGAGAAGTTTCGTTGTCGCATCACGAGACACCGGAAAACAGGCAATTCTCAAGTGAAACCGGTTTACATCCCTGAGATAAGCGAAGCTATTCGTCTATATAGGTATGTGACCATTGAAACTATCGATTGCCGTCATATTTGAGTCACGACGTTTGTTGTAAAACTTCTTCAACGTCGCACAAAACCGCGTCACATGACGTATCGCGTGTCAGATTGATTTCATGATGTAATCTTGCGCAAATCGCGATTTCCGCAAAAACGTAATGCAATACGCAGTAATACAAGTACCGTGACAGCTTGATAAATAACGTATAAAATGATAAGTAGAAAAAATTAAGTCTTGTAAAACTAAACTATAGAGTTATAAATGTTTTAAGATTTGAAATATATATATATATATATATATATATATATTTAAAAATAAGAGACACCTATATATAATATTACACCATATATATAATATTATATTATATTATATAATAATGAAAAACAAATTATAGATAGAACAAATTATTAATCATATAAAACAAAGATAAATGAGTAATTAATGTTACGAATAATAATGAATTAATAACAAAATTATAAATTATATAATTGTATCGCTCATGACTTTCCAACTATCTTCTTCCTTTCTAGTTTATCGTTTGCTTTTAATGACACTTATACGACACTCATTCGAAAAATATGAATAATTAATTAATTGCAATCACTATCCCACGGCATTTCATGTCGCATTTTTTAAAGTTTGACGCGTACTTAATTTTATTGCGACAGAATGTGAAAATCACAATTATACGAAGTTATGATTTGTGCTCGGTATTTGTAAAAATTGCGTGATCGAATTTAGATGATACTAACTCTCTCGCTAACATATATATAGATTTTGTACAACTTTAATATCTCTTATTATAACTTATGATCATATACAACAACTTATGAATCATATAGAAAACGATACAAAGCAACTCGCATTATCTTATCGCGCCAGTATCGCCAAAAGAACAACAAAATAATGTAAACAATAGCGTTTTTATTTATATATTTTATCACAGTCATTATTTACAGTGCAGAAGAAACGGCACGAATATACGACGCATTACCTCTTGAAGTATGATTGCGACGATTATACGGTCATTTTTTACAATTATTATAATTACAATTATAGTTATATAATAAGGTCTTATAAAGAAAATATAATTGTCGCAATCGATACCGGGGCGAGAAGGTACAGTACGAGCTGCTCTGTATATCGTATTATCTCTCGAACTATGATTATAACAATTATACACATTTTTGCACAGCTTTGCCACATGTTCTAATGGATCATATATGGGACTTTGGACCTTTTGCACCATAAGGGCCGTCATCGTGCGCGGATGGCATCGGCGTTTCCGCGTTGTCGCGTTCAACTAGACTGATATCCCGATTTCACGATTGTGACCGAGTTATCACATTTCTGATGTCAATTAAGTGGTCAATTAATGTCTTATTGAGGCTTGTTGCCTCGATTTGTGATTCTCGGTGTGAAACGGATATCTCGATCTGTAATTCGTACCGAAATTCGGGAGTGCCGTCAAAGTATCGCGCGTACAAGTGCGGAGAGAGCGATAAAAGTATCGCACGTATAAGTGCGGGAGTGTCGATAAAAGTATCGCGCGTTTAAGGTGAATATTGACGAGCTGAGAGGAGGAGGAGGCCTAGGAGAGGCATCGGGCGCCGATGGAGCAATCCTATGGTAAATAATATATTATTTGAATATTAATTATTTATTAATTGCGCACGTGCGATTTAAATTAAGCGATTAATCGTGTTATTTGATTTTTTTATTTGCATTAATTATAAACAAGAGAAAAAAAAAGAATTTAAAAAAAAAATATAAACAAGAGAAAAAAAAAGAATTTAAAAAAAAAAGATTTTCATATATAAAAGCTATAATCTTGTAAAAGTTTCTACTTTTAGAAAATTATAATATATACTGCTGGACAAAATTAACACATAATTTTTTTTCACTTTTTCTTTAAAATTTTTTGTTAAAATTTAAATAGCTTTTAGAGAAAAAGTGAAAAAAATTATGCGTTAATTTTGTCCAGGAGTATAGTTATAATTAGAATATAATTATAATTTTTATATATAGAGAGATTATTATATAGAGTTATTAGAAAATTATTAATATAATTTCTTCTTAATTTGCAAAATTATTTTTGTATCTACTTATTATTTTTTTATATAATCATTTTTTATGTATCAAATATAAAATTCAATAATAATTTTACAATACTAATTATATAAAATTACATACAATAATAATTTTTTTAAATATTAATTATTTTGCTGCTATAATGTGGGTCTTTTAGAGCAACCCTAGAGTGATCTTATTACTTGTATATTAACTATTATAAATTTCATTAATTTGATTCATTCATTTAAATGATTTTAATAAGAGAGATTAAAAGAAAGACATTTATATAAAACCTATAAAAAGTTTCTATTTGAAAACCAGATTTTTAGAATTTATAATTACTAGAACAACGCAAAACCTTTTTTAGAAAGGAATTTATGATAATTTTAATTATAATTATTAAAGATTAAATATATTTTCCAGATAGCAGAAAACTTGGAAATCGGAGAAGATTCGCTGTCGCTCCAGACACCGGAAACAGGCAATTCTCAAGTGAAACCGGTTTACATCCCTGAAATAAGCGGAACTATTCATCTATACAGGTATGTGACCATTGAAATTACCGATTGCCGTCATGTTTGAGTCACGACGTTTGTCGTAAAACTTCTCCAACGTCGCGCAAAGCCGCGTCACATGACGTATCGCGCGCCAGATTGATTTCATGACGCAACCTTGCGCAATTCACGATTGATAAAGGGGATTCCAACATTTCCGCAGAAACGCAACGCAATACGCGATAATACCAACACCATGACATCGGCGTAATGCCCAACCATCGCCGCCACTTTGGCGCCATGTGTCACGGCCGAAAGAGCCGGTTATTCAACCTACGCGAAAATCAACGCTATAATGTGTTCCCCGTAGATCTCGGGGTTCCTCCACCATCTCGGAGAAAATCGCGGGGGCGGCGCGTCACATTGCAACCGCAGCGCGACATGTCTTGCGAAATGGGAACGCTCCGGGTCACCCACGCGATAGAAAAAAAGTTTGCCGACGAATAAAAATTCCTTTTCTGTGGCTGCGCGGAGGAAAAGGATGTACGGGGTCCTCGACGTTCGGGGATAGTTATGGGAAATTCCTCGCGTCGCGCGATCTACGCGAGACGCAGGCGTCATACATATATTCTCGCGCGAATCTACCTGCGTCTTTTCTCTCCGCCACCCACGCGCTCATTTCAATGCGTATCTGTAGGCATAAGGTATAGCGAGATGTCATCTTTTCCGGATAGACCGAAATGCGAATTATCGAGATACGCTCGCTTCGAACATCGTCGCAATGTTTAACGAGTCGCGCGGAGATGCCACTTGTTGTCGTTGACATATTGCAGATTACAGCTATCAAAATCAATAAAGCGTAATCGAACGCATGAATGTGCGGATCGTTAATGCGTGAAACGGAAAGCGTGGAAAATCGATCAAAAAAGCGGACGTAAATCAGATTGCTGCATTTCAATTTCCGTACTGCTAATTCTCTCTAGCATACGATAAGAAATAATAATTTTCTTTCTCGGAGAGCAATATAGGATAATTATAAAATCTATCAACGTTTAGAAATTATGCACGCTCAAATTCCAGCGGATTTAAGTCTGATTAGCGTTGCAGAAATTGCCCGATGGCGTCTTGGCAAAAAAATTGCATCTCCGCGCTGACTTCCTCGTTAGCGACGCCGCGGACTAATCGCTTAATTAATAGATGATAAATGTTTGCAATTCCATCGACGAGCCTCGTAGATCTCTGCACGCAGCTCGTTACCGGGTCCAATTAATTACGAAGCGGAGCGATTAAATGCGCAGTCCTCTCGGCCTCGTCCTCGATCCGCCGACGAGGACAGGAGTACGTTTCTTCGTGTCGTTCGTTCTTCTTCGCCTCCAAGAGAGATTCTCCACGAATTTTCTTCGTGACTCGCGCGATTTATTTTCACGTGTCGACGGGGTCACGGGATTGCGGTTCCTGATGTCGCAGGCATGCCAGGAACGCGCGAAGCTTAAAATATTGCATGAGGGTCGGGGCAGGGAGTTTAAAGTTTCGTCCATAAGGACCTTTAATTCGAAATACACTGCTTTCGAAAGTACGCATCAAATAACTTGCATCCAATGTCGAAATCATCTTTGTTAATAATCACGAATATATTAGCGGAAAATATATAAAAAAGTATAATTGATTTGTCATATATATATGAATCATACATACATATATAATATGTAATAATTACATTATATAATGTAACTTTTATATAATCTCTACTAAAATATATTATCTTTTAAATTATTTCACAAAAATAAATTTATTTTAAATTATAAATTTATTTTATACAGGTTAAATTTTAAAATAAAAATTTTTAATTTAAAGAAGCCATCATAAAAATTAAAGATTCAATAACATAATGTAGTTTTCTTGTACGTTTATCATCAAGAAAGAAAGAAATAAAAGATGCATATTAGTTGATGCAATCCTAACACAAATTGCATGATAAATTGCATATATAAAGAAATGAGAATTGTTAATAAGTAAGCAAACTTTTTTTTTTATAAAAGTAAAACGCAAAACTCTTTTTATGATTTAATTAATATACTGACAAGTGGCATATGAATTATTTGAATTTTGTATAGCTTCTTAGAAGTTGCGATTTTTTAAGTGACTGTTTCATTATGTTTGTTAAATTCAATTTAAAATTTCTTTGAGAATGATAAAGCAATCGTTTATTATATTCTGGTTTGTCATTTCGAGAAATGTCATCTCGGACACTGTTCCTCGCACGGACGGGATCATAAACGGGAGTCAGTAATTGAAATATTAATGAGATGTCGACCATGAAACACGTGGTAGTCACATATATCTGCGCTATAAACGAAAGAAGGCTTGGCCGCATTAACATCGTTGTGGGTGACAATGTGAGTCGGGTCACTATCAATGACATGGTTCATCCGCTAACGAATTATCGTCACTTCCCCGATCGATTGTGCCGCGACTATAAATCAAAACTTCATCATATCTTTCATCTTAAAAATGCCTTCGTCTCGATGAACACAACCACCGCATTAACTAGCCTCGCGATAAGTAGCTTCTATTCCGCTTCTATAATAAATCCGCTCTGAAATACAGTTATCGCGTTAACGTTATACGAATCTGCGTTGGCGGTTCAGAAATAACTACAGAATATAATCTTATATTATAAAGCAGAATATATCCTTGCATAGATGTAGAATTAACCTAATCTCGTAACTCGCCAAAATTATATTTATCTCTAAGATTCTTGTTAAATGCGAAAATATATATTCTCATCTTGATATGCAGTCAGAAAGCTTCCTAGATATTTAACTAAATAATCGATAATAAGATTTAATTAAAACATTTCCATAAAGCTTTCGCAAAAAGAGCAATTTATTTCTAGAAGATTAACTGTAATAACTCCACGAGTTATTTTAGTCGTTCAAAATCTATGCCATGCGACAGGATCATCGCACGCAGGGTGTACCAGGTCATTGTTACCAGACCTCTCGTCGAAGAGGTCCTTACGACAACTCTGGCAACTCGGATATGTCTGGAGGGAGCCGTGAATGCGCGTCGCAGTGCGCTCGTAAAAAGTGAACCGGTGACAACCGCTATGACGCGAAATTTACGACGTCGAGGTCACAGCCCAGGTCGAATCGTGAACACCGCGGGACAAGTTTGTCGTCGTTTGCAAAAAAAAGCCCCTCTCCGTCGCTTCCTTTCCGCCGGATCGCTGGTACAGCTTAGATACGAGCAGCCTCTAGATGGCCAATAACGTCGCTCGGAGCTCGCGGTTATCTCGATCGGTCGGAGTCGTCCGGATCACGTGTCTCTTCGTGAGGATAATCACGAGGACGGTTGCGGCGGGTCTTCGGGGATGATTATTATCGCACGGACGGTACTTACAACGTGATTCAGGTGATCGCTCAATTTCTCCCGCCGATCTCTGTACAAGTCACTTTCGATAGAACGGAACGTCTCTATTTGATCAAGTTCGCGGAAATTTATATATTTTATATGAAACATCTAAATTTTCGCGAACTTTATTAAATAAAGATATTTTGCATAAATTTTTTCTTATTTTGCGGAATAAATATTTACGGTATTATTAAAGATTTCAAAAACATATTTTCTGTATTATAAAATAAGCTTTAACTGCTTTCGTATTTTATAGCAATTATGTGTTTTAATAATTTATGAAAACTTTATGATCGTAATAATGAGTTTTTATGAAACTATTATGATCGTAATAATGAGTTTGCGCCGAACTTGACTTTTACAGGTTTAGATTTTTATTGACGACAACAACAAATGAGAAAGAGAAAGACAATAAAAGTTGACAAAAATTTGAGCAATATAACGTGTCGGCAGGAGGTCTCGAGTATTCCTCTAACGTCTCTATAATCCATTAAATCCTCTCGTAAAAATGATCTGGACACGCGGCGTGACCCGGAGCTGTTTGCCCTTCGAAACAGAAATTGCCAGCATATTTTTATATGTGCTCTTAGCGTAGTTAGTTTATATTATATTATATTTATAAATGCTTATTATCAGTGCGGATTTAATAGCTAATTATAATTTATTAATGAGACAGCAAGTATCTGAAGATGGAAAAGATTACGCGTTTATTTTAATCCACGCTCTCTTAATCAAAATTTTAATTCACAACGCATTTATATCTAGATCTTTTAGTCGTTCCTTTAAAATTATTACACTATAATGTCGGAGAAAACATTTTCCAAGGATCTTGCATCAAAACGACATTTGTTACCGTGCTGCGGCGAGAAACGCAGGTGTTTGTAGCTTTCCGTTTTTCCGCGACGTGGAACTTCTACTTTATTCTAACAAACGCAGACCACACGCTGGTCTAAGAATGCACGTGACTTTCTTCGTATCTTTATGGAAACGCGAGAAGTGTGCGAATCAGTTTCTCGTGGTGGCGAGGAGAGAAAGGTTGCGAAAAGACGAAGGGAGAATAGAGGCGGGGGAGGCGAGGGACACGAAGGTGAATTCTCGGGCGATTCGCGAGTCGAGCTGCACCTGCGTGATCCTTATTCGTTGCGTGTACACGTTCACCATGAAAGCGTGCGACTACTTCGGGTGACCTGCATAATAATTAGTAAATCTCCGGAGTCCGGAGGAGAGCGAGTATTTTTGCATATCGCGCGCGGCCATAACACATTGAAATAAGTCTTCCATTAAACGTCAGATCTCATGACATATAATGCGCTGTAGTTATACTTGATGACTCTTTTTACGCCATAAAACAACGCACAAACATGCACGCGTGACATTCGCGATAGTCGGGAAGGAATTTCAATCTTGTTTTATAAATCGCTACATTATCTATACTGTGAGAATTGCTGTCATAATATCGCAATTTATAATTTCAATGCATAATTTCACGGAAAAACTAATTGGATAGTAACTATACGATTAAAACGAGTTATTGATCAATTAATTTACTTCTTTTGATACATTGATATCAAAATGATGACGTATATTCATTTAATAACAATTAAATTTCTGCTGAATCTTTTTACGCTACAGAT